GGAGCTATGGTTAAGTTATAGGGTATGATTCTGTTTAGCTTTAGTGGATACTGCCAAATCAGACCTTTTTTTCCTATCTTTTTTTTAACTTTATATTCTATTCTTGGGCAGTCTCATATTCACTCATGACTTCAATTACCATCTACACACTGACAACTGCCAAATTTATGTCTCAGCCCAGCTCTCTCCTCTTAGCATCAGCCCCAGTCGCCAATTTCCCACTTAACGTCTCTACTTGGATGTCCCTAAGACTCCTCAAAACCAGCATGCACAAAACCAAAGTCATTATCTTAACTCCCAAACTAGTTCTCTACCTGTGTGCCTGATCTAGTGAGCCACACCACTGTTCACCCCATCATGCAAACCAGAAATCAGCCCTGACGCTCCATCTCCCTCACCTGCCTTGACAGGATCTGCCAATTTTGCCTCGTAACATCTCCACTCCCCCGCCCCACCATTCTAGGCTGGCCTACCACTGCATGCCTCACCTGGGCCACTGCAGTGGCTCCTTGACAGGCCGTCTAGCAGCCCCTCTAGATCCTTCACTCTGCAGCCAGAGGGGTCTTTTCAAAACAAAGCTCTGATCACTTGAAATCCTTCCACAGCGAGTCTTTCATTGCCCTTGAGCCAGAATCCTCACCGTGGCCTTTAAGGCCCTGAGTGACTTGGGTCCTCCCTGCCTTTACCCACCTCTCAAACCACACCTGCCCCTTCTCATATCTCTCCCTCAGGACCCTTGCACACACTCTGTTCTCTCTCCGGAATACCCCCCTCTTCCACAGGGGCACATGCTACTGCACACACATGTGCACATACACACGCGTGAACGTGCGTGCGTGCACGCGCACACATACACACACACACACACACACACACACACACACACACCATTGCCTAATTATTCCTCTTTCTCCTTTTTTTCTTTTGAAACAGTCTCGTTCTATCATCCAGGCTGGAGTGCAGTGGTACAATCTTGGCTCACTGCAACTTCTGCCTCCTGGGTTCAAGCAATTCTCATGTCCCAGCCTCCCAAATAGCTGAGGTTACAGTCACCACACCTGGCTAATATTTCTATTTTTAGTAGATATGGGGTTTCACCATGGTGGCCAGGCTGGTCTTGAACTCCTGGCCTCAAGTGATCTGCCCACCTGGGCCTCTCAAAGTGCTGGGATTACAGGTGTGAACCACCTCACCCAGCCTCCTCTTTATTCTTTAGACTGTAATTCAAACATCATTTCCTCAGAGAAAGCTTCCTTGATTCCCCAGTCTGGGTCAGGACCCCCTGTCATTCACTCCGATAGAGCCATAAATTTTTTTTTCATAGCACTTATCATGGTTTGCAATTAGATATTTATTTTTTTCAGTTTTGAATTGATGTCTGTCTCCCCTGTTAGACAGTGAGCTTCATGAAGGTCCAGTCCACGAGGGCAGGTCCATGATCTGTTCTCCACTAGGGTAAGGAATAAATGAGAGAATGAAGAAGCAAGGGATTTGGAGACAGATGACCTCATTCCAGCCTCCAGCCCACTTCTTGCTCTCCCTGAGACTTGAACAGGCTGGTGTGGCTCAGTCTTCTCACTTGTCAGATGGGAGTGAAGTTGCTCATACCTGCTTATTTCACTGGATTGTGTAAGGATCCCATGAGGTAACAATCAAAAATCATGAGGCATTACACAGACGTGAGGGGTGGCTGGAATGAAGAAAGAGACATAGAAAAAGTCAGAAACCACTCAGTCAGCCCACACTGCTGAAGAGAAGGTCTGGGTGGGGAGGGTTGCCTGCTTGGACAGAGAGTTCAGAACTGAGTGCAGCTCTGTGTGTGTCCGCATGGGTGCCTCTCCAGGGGCCCTCTGGGTATGCCTTTCGACACTTTCCTCACCTCCCCATTACTTGAACGAGATGAAGATGAGAGAGAATGTTAGAATACGCACTTGCTTGAACAAGCATACAGGTGATGGAGGAGAGAGGACGTGCAGTTGGGTGTCTGTGTGTGTGTTTGTGTGTGTATGTGTGTTGGGTATGTCTGTGTGTTGGGGTGTATGTGTTGGTGTGTGTGTTGAGGTGTGTGTGTGTTGGGGGTGAGTGTGTGTATATGTTGGTGTGTGTGTCAGTGTGTGTGTGTTGGGGTGTGTGTATGTTGGAGGGTGTGTTGGGCTGTGTATGTTGGTGTGTGTGTTGGGGAGTGTTGGGGGTGTGTCTGTGTGTGTGTGTGTTGGGGTGTGTGTGTTGGGTGTGTCTGTGTGTGTTGGGATGTGTGTGTTGCAGTGTGTATGTTGGTGTGTGTTTGTGTTGGTATGTGTGTGTGTGTTGCGGTGTGTGTGTATGTTGGAGTATGTGTTGGGCTGTGTATGTTGGTGTATGTGTGTGTTGGGCTGTGTATGTTGGTGTATGTGTGTGTTGGGGTGTGTCTGTGTGTTGGGGTGTGTATGGTGTGTGTGTGTGTGTGTTGGTGTGTGTCTCTGTGTGTGTTGGGGTGTGTGTGTCAGGGTGTGTCTCTGTGTGTGTTGGTGTGTGTATGCTGCCCCACACCAGGGCTGTGTGTCTGTGTGGTAATGTGCAGGTGTGCAGCATGGTCTTGGCTGCTATGGGGGAAGAGGTATTCAGCTGCACCCAACTTACTGTCCTTTGGCGCTGTCTGTATGTGCACACCCTTCTCTTTGCTGGGGCTCCAAAGCTGGAAGCTCTCGTTGCCTTAGCTGCTTCCTTCTGGAAATCAATCTGCTTCGCCTTCCAAAACATCTGAAGGAGGGGGACAGTGCCCTCTAGTGGAAACATATGGGCAGCTGCAGCTTCCTCCACCCATGCCTCAGCCCCACTCCACCCAAGTCTGGAAGTGTCCCCTCTGAAGCCCTTCCTGGGGAATGCAAAGGAGGAGGCCCTGCCCTCTGAGAGCTCAAGATCTGGCAGGCAGGAAAAAGATGCACATGGGACAGGACACACGGGTTCAGGCAGGAGAAGACCGAGGACAGCAGCTGAAGGTTGGCCAGGGCGGGGGGTCTCTCCTAATCTCTGCAGTGACTTATCTCTAGTTGCCCTGGGTATTCCTGGCCTTCCTTGCTTCCTGCTCCTGCACATGGTCTCTCGGTCCTGCTCTACTACTCTCAGTCATTACTTACAGCTGTAGGGCCTTGAGGAGAACTGGACCCTTCAGTTCATTCCCTGAGTGAATACTAACAGCGCCCTGTGCAGTCCGGGGAGGCTGCTTGCAGGAGGTAGCATGGGAGTAGGGTCTTGAAAAATGAGTAGGAATTCTCCAGATGGAGTCCAGGGAATTCACAGGACTGTGGATGAGTCTCGTGTGTCTGGGGACGGGTCGTGGCGGCTGGATGCTGGCCTGGGGTGGAGAGTACATTGCATTGCCTTCAGCTTTGTGGGGCCACAAGAGATGACTAAATTTTGACAGGAGGTAGTGGGGAGTGAGAAAAGGTCTTTAAGCAGAGGAATGATCAGATCACACAGCACAGACTAACAACAGTGGGGAGAAATTGCAAGGAGGCAGAGACCCATTGAGAAGTTGTTGTTTCGGCAAAAGAGGATGAGGCCAGTCTGAGGGCAGTGGCAGAAGGATGGAGAGGGGCCAGAGCTTAAGGCACCACTTAGGGGACCTCTCTGTCCCTGGCAGCAAAGCTGAGGCCAAAGGTTCCACATCACTCAGTTCTGCTAGAACCTGGCACCCTGCCTCTCATCCCCAACACACTCTAGGGTCTCTGCAAATGGAAAAGGGAAGATGGTGGAAGCAGGGAGGGAGAAGAAAGGAGGCGGAGGGAGAATGTGGCCTGGGGCTAGGGGATGCTTAAGGAATGGGGAGGCCCAAGCAGACCCACCTAGCCCTAGTCTAGCCCCACGGCTCCTCCTCTGGCCCTGCAGAGAAAGAGTTAATCTGCTATACCTCCCTCCCCTCTGGCCCCCTTCCGCTCCTCCCCTCAGGTCACCTTCTTGGCCCTGGAGACTTGGCTGATGGCTCAAGTTCCTCAACCAGTGGCCCTGAGTAATCAGAGGACACAGAGGGCCCAGGGGCCTGGGGGCAGGGAATGGTAAATTAGGGGCAGGGGAGCCTCAGAGACTGAGAGGCCAGGAGTCTGCAAGGCTGAGTGTTTTTGGGGGAACCCCAAGTTGGCTCCCAATACTCTCTTCCTGACCCAGGTTCCCCCGCCTCGCCCAGCACTGATCTGTTTCTTCCACCCACCAGAGAATTCCTCAAGCTCCTAAATTGTTGGGGAATGGGGGGCAAGCTGAAAGGGGCAGTGGTGATCTGCCAGGAAGCTTTCCAGCAGCAGGAGACAGGGTCCCTCCCCGCAGTGCCGGGAACTGTCAGAAATGAGTCTGTGGTCAGTGAGAGACCGCTGCTAATGGAACCTGGGCAGGCCCACAAGCCACAGGAGGGGTGAGGGAGACGAGAGGAGCCAAAATACAGCTCAGTATGCGGGGTGGGATGAGGGCTGGTAATGCTGACCTGAAGTAGAGCTGGGGCCAGGGAGGGAGGGGAAGAGAAACAGGGTGGGGACTGGCTAGAGGGACCTTGGGGGCAGGGAGTGATTGCAGGGGAACTGGGGATTCAGGGAGTAACTGAAAAGTAAATTGGGGTCAGGACAGTGATCGGAAAGGAGCTAGGGATGAAAGCAATAATTAAAGGGGAAGTGGGGTCTCGGTGGATTGGGAGAATTGGGGGTCAATGCAATACTTGGGTGGATTATGGGTCAAAGGAAACGAGAGAGGAATTGGAGGTCTGAGAGAGTGCGCAGTGGGGGGTACGGGGGGGCTCAGGTATCCCAGAGGAATAGCTGGACCGGGGAGAATAGGGAGAGGACCCAGAATTGGGATGGGGGCACTGAAGAACAGACTGAAGGCTGACAGAGAGCATGAGTGTGTGTTGTTTGTGTCCTGGGGGCACGGGGACTGTTGATGCTGTGATCGTCATGGCAGTGGGCGCAAAGGATGGCGCCAGATCCCTCCTCACCTGGGAGGTAGTTTCCACAAGCCCTAGCCCTAGGCTTTTCCAGGGTTTCCACTCTATTCTAAGCCCTCTCTATGCTGCTGGAGCTGGTGACAGGAAAGGGACTCCAGCCCCCTGCTCTCCATCAGCCTCCCTTTCCCACTGCCATCAATTATTCATCAGCCCAGACGCCCGCCCTCCCTGGCAGGGCAGGCTGGTCCTCCTCCCATGCCCCGCCCAGCCACACTGCCACAGAGGCCCTGTGAGGAAGGACGGCCGGCCAGGCTGTGGAGACCTGGTTGAAGAGCTGGGTGGCTGGCTCTGCTGGACTCTGCCAGGGTCACATTGCCTTCCCCTCTGGCACCTTCCCCCTTCCTCCTGCCAGTCCCTGGCACCAGGAAGCCCCTGGAGAAGATGCCCATCCAGATCTTCTGCTCCATGTCATTCTCCTCTGGAGAGGAGGCCCCAGGGTCCTTGGGAGATATCTGGGGTCCCCACCACCATCAGCAGCAGCGGGACAACTCAGAATCAGACAAGGAGGAAGAGAAGGAAGAGGAAGCAGCGAGGAAGGAGGCCAGCGAGGGGCATTCACCCATGGACTTGGTGGCCTTCGCCAATAGCTGCACCCTCCATGGCACCAACCACATCTTTGTGGAGGGGGGTCCAGGGCCAAGGCAGGTGCTGTGGGCAGTGGCCTTTGTCCTGGCACTGGGTGCCTTCCTGTGCCAGGTGGGGGACCGCGTTTCTTATTACCGCAGCTACCCACACGTGACCCTGCTAAACGAAGTGGCCACCAGGGAGCTGGCCTTCCCAGCGGTCACCCTCTGCAACACTAATACCGTGCGGCTGTCCCAGCTCAGCTACCCCGACTTGCTTTATCTGGCCCCCATGCTGGGACTGGATGAAAGTGATGACCCTGGGGTGCCCCTCGCTCCACCGGGCCCTGAGGCCTTCTCTGGGGAGCCCTTTAACCTGCATCGCTTCTACAATCGCTCCTGCCACCGGCTGGAGGACATGCTGCTCTATTGTTCCTACCAAGGGGGGCCCTGCGGCCCTCACAACTTCTCAGTGGTGAGTGGGGCCCCATGCCTGGCACAGCGCCCCGAGACTGTCTGCTATGGCTCTCCCTGACTGTCGCCTCCTGGGGCTGGGGCTGGGGCTGATGACTGTGCTGCCCCCTACCTCACCTGGCTGACCCAGGCCAGAGCTCACCCGGGAGTCCAGGGCCTGGAGCTGGGCTGATATTCCAGGTCCACACCAGTACTGCTTTTCCTGCTAGAGGCTTGAAACACATCTGTCTTAGTTGGCCCCTGTGTGTCCTCCAGCCCCACCTGTCCTTCCCAAGACGTCCTCATAGTCCAGCAGGGCGCAGGACCTTGCTCCATCTGTGAGGTCAACCTTTGATCTGTTGGTGAACGCCAGTGCCTGGCCAGTTGTTTGCTATTTTGACTGGCACCCATGGACTGAAGCTGGGGTGGGTGTTGCCTGGTCTCTGGCGGTACAAGAGAAGGGGGTGAAAGGGAGACAGTAGAGGGGTGGGGACCTCCCCCACCCTCACCCCTTCATGCCCCTTGTCAGCAGCTCCTGCAGCAGGGACTTCAGTGAGTCTTCATTTGGTCTTCCTGTGCCCTCCTATGGGCATCCCACCCCCACCAGCTCTGTGTGTGTGTGTGTGTGTGTGTGTGTGTGTGTGTGTGTGTAAAAAAAGGTCTCTAAATCATATCCCTATCCCCAGCTATAAGCGGCCAGGGACCCTCTTCCTAGGGAAAGCTCTCACTGGGAACTGTCCTCCTGCTTGGCCCCCCACCCAGGTGTCTAGGGCCTTCCCAGCTAGTGGGCCACCTGGCACCCCACTGTCTCTCCTTAGTTCATCTTCCAGGTCTGTCTGGCCTGACTACTCTCCTGCCCCACCAGCTCCCAGATGCCAGGCCTTCCCAGGTCCTCCACCCCTTCTCTAGTGTAGGGGCAGGATGTGTCATCATACCCGTACATCATGGGATGACTGCAGGCATTCAGGGGGTTTGGGCCACTGGCCCTCAGGGAGGCTTCCTCTGGGCCTGAGGGTAGAGCAGACACTTCCCACCCAGGCCACCAGGTGGCAGCAGCGATGCACTTTACAGCAGCCCAGTCCTCTGAGCCAGCACAAGGCTAGGGGTGCTAGCTGGCCTCAGACACCTCTAAATCCCATACAGCTCCTGATGGAGTGCAGGCATGGGTAAGTGTCCCACCTGCAGCCTGTGGCTGGGTGTCACAGACCTGGTTGTGGAGCTGGGGACTAGGAACCCTTGGAATTCTCTTTGCCTCATCTCTGGACCTCACCCACAAAATGGGGAGTATGTCTCCTTTTCTGGAGGACAGTGGAGGAGGCCGTTCTAGGAAGGGGCAGACTACAAAGACCCTGTACCCTAGTAACCCGCTGCCATTGCTGCTCCAATCTGGCCTGAAACTCTTTTGTCTCTCCCCTGCTCTGGGCTGTATTGACTCACCTTGTGACCTGTTTTGTGGACTTCGTTACCATCCAGCAGTAGTAAAAGCACAGCCACCCCAACCTGGGGACATTCAAGGAGGCTGTGGGGAAAAGGCCAAGAACAACTGGTTTACTTATCTCTCTGCAGCTTTGTAATCAGCACTGTGACCAGTGCTGCACTGGGGCAGCATGGAGTGGGGAGAAGACTGGGGAGACAGCCCCCAGGGCTGAGATAGCTTCTGAGGCGCTCCTAGTTTTGCAAAAGCATTAACACACGTGCCATGCCGTGGGGGCTCAGTCCCAAGTGCTGGGAGAAGAGGTGCTGGTGCGTGGTTGAGCATGATCCTTAGCATGGCAACTGGGTCTGCCTTCAGGTTGTGCTGATAATGGAATAATGATGGACCCAAGGGGCTAGTGGCTGAAGGAAACCAAAAAACTGAGTTTGGCCAGGCACAGTGACTCATGCCTGTAATCCTAGCATTTTGGGAGGCCAAGGTGGGTGGATCATCTGAGGTCAGGAGTTCGAGACCAGCCTGGCCAACATGTGAAATCATGTCTCTACTAAAAATACAAAAATTAGCCAGGCGTGGTGGCAGACACCTGTGATCCCAGCTACTCAGGAGGCTGAGGCAGGAGAATCGCTTGAACCTAGGAGGCGGAGGTTGCAGTGAGCTGAGATCGCGCCACTGCACTTCAGCCTGGGCAACAGAGCAAGACTTCATCTTAAACAAACAAACAAATAAACAAAAAACTGAGTTTGGGTCTTAGGGAAAACAGAATTTCAGATTTCCAGAGTGGAATCTAGGAAAAGAGAGGAGATGTCTTGGAGGCGGAGGCCTCAGGAGCTTCGGCCTGAGGAAAGGGTCCCAAGCAGGGGCCAGGGATCTGGCTGTGATAGGATCCTGGTGATGAAAATACATATGTTTCAGGGTCCTGGCAGGAAAAAGACAGCCCCTTGATGATTCAAGTGAAGACTTTAACAAAGGGACTGTTGACAGAGCTGTGGGCAGGGTTAAGTAGACCAATGAGGGGGGCTGAGGCAGCGAGCAGTACTAGGAAATCGTTATCACTTCTAGGCCAAGGAAGTACAGAAGAAGACAGTGCTGTGCAGGGAGCCCTCCTGGCAGGGCTCGTAATCATGGAGGGCCTAAACTGCTACTAGAGCTACAGAGGGGGCAGGGCTGGGGAAGGGGAAGGACTCATACCCCAGTCGTTCCTCCTGCCTTCTGATCCATGACCGATACTTCCCAACAGTCAAACACAACTAGAAGTCCATGCAGCTGGCAAAGGAGCTCAGGCAAAGCTCCCTACAAGGAACAGTTTTCCAGGGCACACAGAGGGCAAGGAAGGTTGGGAAACAGGTGGGAGAGGGGAGCAAATGGAGATTGGGCTGCACCCCAAAGGGTGTTGAGATCCCAAAGCTGGGGTGGCTGGGAACACCCCTTGGTGAGCAGAGGGTGCTGGCAGGACTCTCAGGCTCTCCACTCTGCCCCCGCCAGGTCTTCACACGGTATGGAAAGTGCTACACGTTCAACTCAGGCCGAGATGGGCGGCCGCGGCTGAAGACCATGAAGGGTGGGACAGGCAATGGGCTGGAAATCATGCTGGACATCCAGCAGGACGAGTACCTGCCTGTGTGGGGGGAGACCGGTACGTCATCCCTCTCAGGGGCCCCTCCGCATGGCTTTAGGCCCCAGCCTCTGCCAGAGGATTCCTGGGTTTCACTGTGAGACCTGGGCAGGGTCTGGGTTTTCTCCTCTGCCCCCAGCATCTCACCATCTCCATCACTGACTCGACCTGACTTCCACACTCATATCTCTCTGACTCCCCCTTCCTGGCTCAGTTACTCTCCAAGGTAACCAGCCATCCTTTTCCATCAGCAGCCGCCACTCACTCTATAAATAACTCCCTGTCTTCTCAGGCTGCCTGCCTGTCGGGTCTCGGGGGGCCTTGGGGCAGAGAGAGATGGGGGAGAAGGGAGAAAGGTGGGGGGAGAAATGGAGAGCATCTGAGACAGTGATACTCTGGGAGAAAGTACTTGAAACACCAAGATGCAGAGCAGACGCCAGGTAAGAAAAGAAGTTTGTAGGATACAGGGGTCATGGGAGCAGCACGGAGCTGGTAAACCCAGAAGGAGGCTGAGGTGTGGGCTAAGACCCTATAGACTTCCCCTACCCCAGCACCAGTGTATGCTGTGCTTATTCCCAGGAGAGGTAGGTTGCCCCCAGGTCCGAAGGGAATTAGGGAGTCAGGAGCCTCCCAACCCACACACCCCTCATTCCCCTAGACGAGACGTCCTTCGAAGCAGGCATCAAAGTGCAGATCCATAGTCAGGATGAACCTCCTTTCATCGACCAGCTGGGCTTTGGCGTGGCCCCAGGCTTCCAGACCTTTGTGGCCTGCCAGGAGCAGCGGGTGAGAGGGCCATGGGAGGCTGGTCCTGGGGTGGGGTGTTGAGGGGTCCAGATGGAGTGGCGGGCAATCAGTGATGGGAAGGACAGGTGAGCGAGGACCTGGGTGGTAGTCTGGCTAGTCAGAAGCATGAGTGATGGAATTAACAAGAATGCTCTGTAAACTCTGAGACCTTCAGAGGCTGCAGAGGGAGAGGGGGGCAGAACTCCAGATATCTCCATCTTGTCAGAGGAGTCCATCAAGCTGATTTGGGGAGAAGTCCCCACGCTCCCCCAGCTCCCTGGCTCTCCCAGCAGCTCATCTACCTGCCCCCGCCCTGGGGCACCTGCAAAGCTGTTACCATGGACTCGGATTTGGATTTCTTCGACTCCTACAGCATCACCGCCTGCCGCATTGACTGTGAGACCCGCTACCTGGTGGAGAACTGCAACTGCCGCATGGTGCACATGCCAGGTCAGGCCCCGAGGCTCCGAGCACACTCCTGGGGCCCCTGGGCCTCCGCTGCCCCTCACTAGCTCCCCATCCATATCAATCTCCCCACCCCAGTTCCAGCCCACCCCATCCCATACCCATCTGGCTCTTGTCTCTCTGACCTTAGTTCCTGCCTTCACCTCCAGGGATGGGCGGGAAGGGTCAACAAGGTATGGACTGGGAATGGGTCACTTCTGGGGCAGCATGGGGGCCAACCAGTCCTCCCCTCCCATCCTCTCCCAGCTCACACCTTCTAGGCCTTTATTTGGTACTACCACTATCACCAGACCCCTTGAATTCCCATCCTGCATCACTGTCTTTTCTCCTCTGTAGGGGATGCCCCATACTGTACTCCAGAGCAGTACAAGGAGTGTGCAGATCCTGCTCTGGGTGAGCGCCCCTGGCCTGGGGCAGTCTGGGGGAGGGAAAAGGTGCTGACAGCCATGTGCATGGGGTTTCAGGTCAAGCTCCCAGAAGCTTCAGATAACTCCTGGACCGGGCTGCACCCTCTCCTGTGTCTGACTTTAAAGCTGGGAATGGCCAGGCGTGATGGCTTACACCTGTAATCCCAGCACTCTGGGAGGCCGAGGTGGGCAAATCGCTTAAGCCCAGGAGTTTGAGACCAGCCTGGGTAACATGGTGAAACCCCATCTCTACGAAAAATACAAAAAAAAAAAAATGTGGGTGTGGTGGCATGTGCCTCTAGTCCCAGCTACGCCAGAGGCTGAGGTGGGAGAATTCCTTGAACCTGGGAGGCAGAGGTTGCAGTGAGCCAAGATTGCACCACTGCACTCCAGCCTGGGCGACAGAGCAAGATCCTGTCTCAAAATAATAATAATCAATAAAATTGAGCATAGCATCTTCAGAGGCTCCCATGAAAAATAAACAGAGGTCATCTGGGGATGGGCTTCGTCTTCTTTCATCAGCCCCTCAGCCAGTTGACCCTGGAGGGCCCTGAGGAAGTGATATAAGTAAGAAATATCCATGGGGAGGTTTCGTGAGGGTTAGCACAAGGTGGACACAGCTGTGAGGGGGCAGCTGGGGGTCTCCTCCCTCTCCTAGTTCTCTCCATCTACATCTTTGGTTCAGTGGCCTGCAGGGTTCAGCAGGTAAAGTCCTCAAACATGCCTCAGGCTGGATGGTGAGGTAGGATGTTGGCAGAGTTTGACATCCCGGCAGGACACGGAAAGATAAAGGGGCCCAGGGTTTCTCTGGGCAGAGCTAGGATGTGCATATGGGAAGGTGCTAGCAGAAGGGCACCACTCAACTGGCACCTCTCACCTGGCTGAGTGCAGACTTCCTGGTGGAGAAGGACCAGGAGTACTGCGTGTGTGAAATGCCTTGCAACCTGACCCGCTATGGCAAGGAGCTGTCCATGGTCAAGATCCCCAGCAAAGCCTCAGCCAAGTACCTGGCCAAGAAGTTCAACAAGTCTGAGCAATACATAGGGTAAGGGCTCTGGCTGGGTACAGCAAGACCCTTGGGCTGGGACTGTGGAATGTGTGAGTGGAGTTTGATGGGGGTGGGGGCTGGCAGGCAGGAGGAAGTTGAGACAATACAGGGAAGGTCCAAGAGGCAAGCGAAGAGTCTAGGGTGGGTATGCAGGAAGATCAAGCCAGAATAAGCAGGGGAAGCAGCCCCTTCTCCTCCCTCTTCATCCTTATTGTTGGAATCGGAGTAGCCTTATACTTGATGCATACTGCATACAGTGCAGAACATTTTTTTATATGTGGCATCTCATTTAACCCTAAAAGGCAGGTATCTCCATCAGCATCTCACTTTCTGGACATGGAAACTGAGATTCAGAGAGGCTGACTTGCTAAGATCACTTGGCTAGTAAGAGACAGAGATATGACTTGAACCTAGGTCTCCTCCCCCAACCCCTGTGCAGGGAGAACATCCTGGTGCTGGACATTTTCTTTGAAGTCCTCAACTATGAGACCATTGAACAGAAGAAGGCCTATGAGATTGCAGGGCTCCTGGGTGAGCTGCTGATGGCACCTGTCCCCTTCCCATGCCATGGGTATGGCGTGGCTCCCTACCATCCAAAACAGGGTGCTCACTTCTGTCCCATGAGGGCCCTCCACCCCAGAGGCCCTTCCCCAAACCCTGTTGTCTTGGTAAGTGGTGGAGGAAGGGGACTGAGCCTTCTCTTAGGGCATAGAGGAAAAGACAGATCTGTGGACATGAGGGAGGGATAGGCATGGAAGTGGAGAGTATTTCATATGCCTCTAAAATTCGCCCAAAAACTAAGAGGGTTGTGGTATTTTGTAAATGATTATTTTTCCTGAAAAACACCTGCTCGTTTTAGAAAGGTAGAAAAATACAGAACTAAGCTTAGGGAAGAAAATAAAAATTCCACTGGAATCTGGCTTAGCGATCCTTCTGTGCGAAGGCTGCCAATCCCTTTGAGAATACAACTTGCCCGCCCCAGTCCCAGTAAGCCCTGTTGCTGCCCCCACGTGTCCTGACCCCTTGGCCCCCGCCCCCGCAGGTGACATCGGGGGCCAGATGGGGCTGTTCATCGGGGCCAGCATCCTCACGGTGCTGGAGCTCTTTGACTACGCCTACGAGGTAAGCGGGGGCGGAGCCCGGCGCGGGGCCACATGGGGGCGGGGCCCAGCCCGCCCACCTGCCCCGTCCGGTCCTAGGTCATTAAGCACAAGCTGTGCCGACGAGGAAAGTGCCAGAAGGAGGCCAAAAGGAGCAGCGCAGACAAGGGCGTGGCCCTCAGCCTGGACGACGTCAAAAGACACGTGAGGGAGCAAGCGAGGGCGCCCTCCTGCCTGCCCCTGCCTCCAACGCCCCAGGAACCCCCGTCCACCCCCGCCCACTTGCCTCTGCCACCACCTTCTCTCCTTTGCCTCCCCAACGCCCCAGCACTACCTGAGGCCCTTCCGAGGGATAACCCGTCCCTGTCCTGTGCCCTTCCCCCAGAACCCATGCGAGAGCCTCCGGGGCCACCCTGCCGGGATGACATACGCTGCCAACATCCTACCTCACCATCCGGCGCGAGGCACGTTCGAGGACTTTACCTGCTGAGCCCCGCAGGCCGCTGAACCAAAGGCCTAGATGGGGAGGACTAGGAGAGGGAGGGGGCCCCCAGCTGTCCCCACATCTGCCTTGGGGACTCCCCACACTCCGGGGCAGATCTTTCCTCTTGTCTGTGGTGAGGAAGGAGTCGTGACCATAGAGTCCTCTCCCTGCCTCTATCCCATTCTTTTTACATTCAACAAAACTAATCTAAAAAAAAAAACTAAAAAGGGAGAATGGGGCAAGGGACCTCAGGCTGCCCCTCTCTCCTCCATGCTGCCTCCCCTAGCTCCCAGCCTGAATTCTGTCTGTCTGGCTGTCATCTGAGTGTCCACCTACATTCTGCTGCCACCAGTCACCAAAGCCCCCTCCCAGTGAGGGGTGGAAGGGATCCCTGGGGCCTGGAATTTGGCCCCAAACCAGAGAATGTACCTTAAGAGGGAGGGCTAGTGTGGGGGAGGGCGGCTTCCCCAGCCTTAAGAGACCCTCTCAGCCCAGTGACTGTCCCCAGACCCAAGTCTCCTGGCAGGAACTAAAACCTCAGCCCCACTCTCTCACACCATGTGGAATCTCATGGGGGTCGGGGATCCCCTGAAGAAGTAGAAACGGGGACAAGATGTGGCCCTGGTGCTGTAGGCTACATCCTGATACCTATAAGTACCCCCCCCAACCCACAGCTGCTGGAGAGAAATCCCAAGAGGTAGCCCTCCCTCACCATCCCATAAAAGACCTGGCTGGTTAGCGTCCAGCTCAGGGAGAAGGGCGCTGGTGCCCAACCTCACTGGTCCCTCTCCCGGAGGCCCTTGTAGAGGGCCACGTCCATAAATTTTCTTATGGAACTCTCCCACATCCTCTTCCCCAACTTCATTTGCTTCTCTCAACAACCTCATCTGCATTTTCTATTTCTATATGATACAGACTCTATATTGCTATATCCCTGTATATACTTTCCCCAGCCCTGTCTGTCTTCACCCCATCCCCTCTTGTCTCTGAGAACCATTCTCCCTCCCCAACTTCCAACCTTCTGTGTTTCTGCCCCCTTTCTGGTCTCTGAATGCCTTCGCCTGTATAAAGAGTTGGACTCTCTCCCCTGGTGTCTGTACTGTGTACACACATCCCTCTGAGAAGCACAAGGAGACGACACGCGCATTGTAACCTTTGCACTGTCTCAGTGGCGACAAAGGAAGCTGTGAATCACAAGCTCTGCCTCTTTCTGGCCTCACCCTCTCCCCAAACCTGGGCACCCTCGGCTCTCCCTGCAGCCTTAACATTCCCTTCCCCTGCTCCTTCTATCCCGTTGCCCTTTGCCCAGCTGACCGTGGCATCCCCAGGGAAGGGGTTGCTGTAGAAATAGCCTCTACCCAGGGGATGGAGTTCTGCTCTGAACACTAAGCTGAGCGTGTCAGAGATGGAAGGGAGCTGCGGACGGGCGACTCCTGAAGCTGGGGCAGTGGGATGCTGACAGGGAGAAGCTGAGGTCCTCAGTCAGTGGCCTTTCCTCCTTCTGGGTGCCCAGCCACCTCTTCTCACCTGATACCCAAGCCCACCACTTTTATTTTCTGGCAAGGTGGGCTTGGGAGGAAAGAGAGGCCTAGAGGAGGAGTTGAAAGCTCTGCTGTTCTGTCCCTCCCTATCTTAATGAGAGACAAGTGAGGTGGAGGCCCACCCCCGCTCCCTCCACCAGACACTCCTCCCAGGCCTGAGCCCCAACCCCTCTCCAGGCCTTCTTTCCCCAGATGTGTCTTGGTCTCCAATCCCAGATCAGGACCTGTGGGCAGGTCACCTGTGCATTGACCTGGGGCTGGAGAGTAAGGCTGTCGGATCTTTGGAAACTCTTGGTTCCTAGGAGTTTTTCAGAGATCATACCTCCCCAGAGGGAAGCAGGAATGAGGCCAAAAAGTGTGCACTGGATAGGGGAACAGCAGGCAGGGCTCCGGGTGACGCATGCCTCTGGTCTAATAAACTGGGTTTCAACCATCTCCTCTTCAGTGTTGTTCTCTTATTTGAAAAGTATTTAGGTATTCTCACTAAGTGCCTAGAGCTGAGCTTGGTTTGGGGCCAAACAATTAGGGGATGAGTAAGGAGATGGTTAGAGTAGGGAGACTGTGGTCCTTCTGGAATGGGACCAGCTGACCATCATACCCAGGATAGGTTTGAATCACTGGGCAGGGAAAGAGGGAGGAGTCAAAGGCAAGAAAAGTCCAAAACAATCCCTAGCACCACAAAGGATGCTTTAGCGAGAGAGCAGGGTCAAAATTCAAGATAAACTGGATCTTATTATAAAATCTGGAAGCAGGCTGGCACGGTGGCTCACACCTGTAATCCCTGCCCTTTGGGAGGTTGAGGTGGGCAGACCACTTGAGGTCAGGAGTTCGAGACCAGCCTGCAAAACATAGCGAAACTATTTTTTAATATTCAAAAAAACAATCGAGACCAAGCACAATAACTTACACCTGTAATCCCAGAATCTAGGGAGGCTGAGGCAAGCGGATCATTTGAGCATAGGAGTTCGAGACCAACCTGGGCAACATGGAGAAACCCCATCTCTACCAAAATGCAAAACAGCCTGGCATGGTGGTGCATGCCTGTGGTCCCAGCTAGCTACTCCGGAGGCTGAGGTGGGAGGATCACTTGAGCCCGGGAGGCGGAGGTTGCAGTGAGCTGAGATCGCATTACTTCACTCCAGCTTGGGCAACAGAGAGAGACGTCATCTAAAAATAATAGTAAAATAATCTGGAAGCAGGTTAGGCCAGAGACAAAGTTAGGTTGAAGTTCCCACATGAGGTAGTTATTGAGGCACTTTATCTGTGGAGTGAGTCCCTGGCTATGAGCAAGGAGATCTGGAATCTTGGCTTCGGCTTTACCGCTAACTTGCTGGTTGACCTTTGCCAAGTGATTCACCTTCTGTGAATTCAGCTTTCCCATTTGTAAAATGGAATAAACTGTGCGTTTCCCTCCTCAGCCCCTGACAGTTATTGCAGTAAGAAAATGAAACGAAAAGCAATCAAAGCGTTTTGGAAAGTTAATGCCATGCGTGAAGAGGAAGCTATTACTCCAAGCCCCTCTTCATCAGAGGGCTAGAGTAAGGGCAGGGTTGAGACGGGCTGAGGCTGTGGTCCCTCTTTCCAGGTCCTTGTCTTCCTCCCGTCGGCCTGGGGGCGCCCGCTCACGGGGCTTTTCTATCCCAGAGTTCTTCTCTATGGTTTTTCCCTCCAGGACCGTGAAGGCGGGAGGGCGTGGCCAGCACGCCTTTTCCGCTAGTCGCCCCCCTCTAGCCCACAGTCTCGCTGCCCTGAGCCTCCCGTGCCGGCCGGCCGGCCGGGGGAACAGGCGGGAGCTCGGGGGGCTCGCGGGGGGGCGGGGGGAGTTCCGGTTCCGGTTCTTTGTGCAGCTGCATCGGCGGCTCCGGGAAGATGGCGGCCCGGGCGGGTTTCCAGTCTGTGGCTCCCAGCGGCGGCGCCGGAGCCTCAGGAGGGGCGGGCGCGGCTGCTGCCTTGGGCCCAGGCGGAACTCCGGGGCCTCCAGTGCGAATGGGCCCGGCTCCGGGTCAAGGGCTGTACCGCTCCCCGATGCCTGGAGCGGCCTATCCGGTGAGTGGGGCAGGAGGAGGGGCGCGCGGGCCGGGGGCGGGGCCGAGCGGGACCTGGGAGTGACAGGGGTCGGGGGAGAAGTAGGTGGGACTACCTTGGGAGGGGTTCGGGCTCTGGGTGGGGGTTGAGGGAGGCAGTTAGCGTTCAGGCACCTGATCCTATGGGCATTGTTTCCTTGGGGAGTCGGTGGAGAACCAGGGTGGGTGAAGTGGGTCCGGGATACCTTTACGAGGGCCGGAGTGCAAAGGGGCTTGAGCAGCTCTATCCAGTGATCAGAGGAACAGAGTTGTAGCTGGCAAATTGAGGTCAGCTTCTAGATAGTAGCTAGCAGAGTAAATGTGGAATTCGAGATGTCCGATGTGTCTGATCCAAAATAGACTGAGGAGAATTTCAATATAATCTGACTCTCTTAGGTTTCGGACCCTATTTTTCTATGGAGTCACTACTGGAGCAAAGGGTTCTCCTCTCATTGTCCTCCATTCCATCCCTAAACCTTACTTCATTCAAATAACTCAGGCATCCTCTGCTTTTTTTTCTTGGTGGGGTTTAGCAGGTGAAACCATGACATTTCTGGGTCCTTTCCCCTCTGTAGAGACCAGGTATGCTGCCAGGCAGCCGAATGACACCTCAGGGACCTTCCATGGGACCTCCTGGCTATGGGGGGAACCCTTCAGTCCGACCTGGCCTGGCCCAGTCAGGGATGGACCAGTCCCGCAAGAGGCCTGCCCCTCAGCAGATCCAGCAGGTCCAGCAGCAGGCGGTCCAAAATCGAAACCACAAGTAAGATGATCCTAGGGCAGAGGGAGGGAGGGAGGAGGCCTGGGAGGACACAGGTGGTGGGAGTACCTGAACCAAGAAGTGGTGGTGCTTTGTCAGCAGATGGTCCTACAGGACTGATCCTTGAGAATGCTTGGTGGTGGTGGTGGTGGTGGTGGTTCTTTGATTTGAGAGAAGTTTTGCGATCTCTTCGCATTACTATAAATGGACATGCTGACAGCTTATTTTCACATTCTGACTAGTTCTGTCTCAACCTGATAATGGTATGTATTCCCAACAGTGCAAAGAAAAAGAAGATGGCTGACAAAATTCTACCTCAAAGGGTGAGTCCAGGCTATAGGTCTTCTGGAAAGTGTGGTGAGTTTGAGTATAGAGATGATCATCCTAGATCTCATTAATTTTTCTGTTCCTAAGATTCGTGAACTGGTACCAGAATCCCAGGCCTACATGGATCTCTTGGCTTTTGAAAGGAAACTGGACCAGACTATCATGAGGAAACGGCTAGATATCCAAGAGGCCTTGAAACGTCCTATCAAGGTAACACAGGAAAGCACTAGGCAGAGAGCCAAAGGAGAGGACCCAGGAACCTTCAGCAGGTTTAGCATGAGAAATCAAAGGCACAGCACAACTCTCCTTGGCATTTAAATTGCATCTCTCCCTTCCGCCTACAAACTGAGAATTACATTAGGAGGATAAGAACAGAATGGCAAAGGGGGAGGGGCTCTTGATGTCTCTTGTACTAGAAATATACCCTTGTCCATGTTTTTGCTATAACTGCTCTGCTACCTTGGGAACCTGGCACCTTGCATGACTTTGTCCACCTGGCATCCCACTGTATACAGTTGTACTTAGGCTGATGGCCAGTACTCCTCTTCTAAATGGAATCTTTATCCATCCATCCAAGGGACTGGGTAGACAGTAAGCCAGTCTATTAGGAGTAATTTTGGGGTTTGGGGAGACCCTTGTCTTCAACATCAGACCACTGTAGCCCCACGATCAATCCTGTTTCTGCCTTCCTCAGCAAAAACGGAAGCTGCGAATTTTCATTTCTAACACTTTCAATCCGGCTAAGTCAGATGCCGAGGATGGGGAAGGGACGGTGGCTTCCTGGGAGCTTCGGGTAGAAGGACGGCTCCTGGAGGATGTGAGTTCAAGGTCCATCATGGTTGGCATCTAGGGTGGGAGCTGCTGGGAATGAACAGTGTTGTCTGGTCAGCAGGAAGCCTAACTGGTGCTCACAGCTCCTTTTGGGAGCAGTAGGGAGAGGGATGCTCTGTTCCCTGCACAAAAGACAATAGTCCTTTGTGTTTTGCCCCCACACCTTTGGCCCTCACTGGTACCATTTGGAGAACCTTATTGTCCTGGGATCTGACTTGTTGTTTACCTTCCTCTTGGTGCTGCTGGCTGTTGGATTTAGCCATATTTGTAGATTATTTAGGGTTTTTTTTTTTGTTTTTTATTTTTAATCAAGTGAGCTTGCATTCATTGTGAGGCCCTGTTTCCTCTCTGAGTCCTTGTGGTATCTCCATCATCCCAGCTTTCATTGGAGACACCCTGCAGTTTAAGTGGGATAGATTTCTCTGACAGGCTCTTTGTTGCTTCCTGAGGAGCATCAGCTGACAGGTGATAGCCCCCAAACTTCCCACCCCAGAAGCTCCTTGGGGAAGCTCACCTTTCTCTCATTCCCTTACATTCTCTGGCTCTATTTTTAGCTGCTCACAGGCAAGCTAATTGGAATGCACTTTTGCAGGAGAACCAGGGCTCAGTGTCAGAGCCTCCTTCTCTATATAGGTCTGGTCCATCTGCTGGTGGTGTCATTCTGTCCAAATAAAGCTGTTTTTTGTTCTGGCTGCTTATTGCCTGTGATTCATTTCCCCTCTAGAATCAGACTTTTCCCTGCTCAAACTCGCTTAGTTATGTGTAATGGTTTGCTTAACTTGCCACATTTCCCTTGAGCAAATGAGGTGGGGTAAAACAGTGACCCTGTAGGTGTTCTAGGCTGCACCTTCAGGGTTCTGTTGCTACCATGACTGGTTTAATACCTGCAGATGCCTGCTTTGCCTGTCTCTCCTAAGAGATATTCAGAAGATATTTTTGAGTTTTTTCCTATTGCTGTTGGGGTTCCTTTTTCATAGGATTTTGTCTTGGGAAGTTTCTTTTGGCCATTTCTAACATGATTTTTCTTTTCTCTCCTTTAGTCAGCCTTGTCCAAATATGATGCCACTAAACAAAAGAGGAAGTTCTCTTCTTTTTTTAAGTCCTTGGTGATTGAACTGGACAAAGACCTGTATGGGCCAGACAACCATCTGGTAGAAGTGAGTAGTTCTGCCTTCTAGGCTTTGACTCTGATTGGAGGATGATGGACTTGGGAGCCATATTTGAATGTCTAAGAAGGGGAGATAGAAAGTAGTCACTCTGGGTGTACACAGTACTACTCCAGGTATACAGTTTGCACATTGACCTCTAGGTGGCACTAGCATGTTTAGTTAGGACTAAGGGCTCTTGTAATCTAACTTGTCTCATCTTTTGATGTTACTATCCTGGTCACTGCCACCTCTTTCAAGGGAAATTCTACTGGTGGCCTCTTGTACATGCCAGGCCATCTCTGCA